ACGGTTCTACCGTCGCTAGTGGCGCTTTGATTGCCGGATGGTACGAACTCACCACCAGCAGTTTCGATGTTTTTTCAAAAGGTTATTCGTCCTTTTTCAACGGTTCAGCTAACAATTTCCCTTGTTCCCTGCAGATGGTTAGGACCCGTCGATGGCACTTCTCCAGTCGCGCGGCGTCGCTTCGTCTGGGGCATGGCGACGAGTCTCCCGTCGCACGGCGTCGCTTTCTCGGGGGCATGGCGACTCTTCACGCGTCGCGCGGCGCTTCGCACTGCGCTGGCGACGCCTCTCAGATTCGTCGTCGTTTTTCGTTTTGTCATCTTCCGTTTTGTCGTCTTCCGTCTCGTTATCTTTCATCGGCCTTTCTCACTCGTGGCATGTCGTGGTCGATGCGCAGCCCCCAGGAATGAAGGGTTAGAAGAAGGCCAAGATGACCAAGTCTACAACCACGACGACCAAGTCTCCGACCACGACGACCAAGTCTCCGACCACGACGACCAAGTCTCCGACCACGACGACCAAGTCTCCGACCACGACGACCAAGTCTTCGACCACGACGACCAAGTCTTCGACCAAGACGTCCAAGTCTTCGACCAAGACGTCCAAGACTCCGTCCAAGACGTCCAAGACTCCGTCCAAGACGTCCAAGTCTTCGTCCAAGACGTTCAAGTCTTCGACCAAGACGTCCAAGTCTTCGACCAAGACGTCCAAGTCTTCGACCAAGACGTCCAAGTCTTCGACCAAGACGTCCAAGACTCCGTCCAAGACGTCCAAGTCTTCGACCAAGACGTCCAAGTCTTCGACCAAGACGTCCAAGACTCCGTCCAAGACGTCCAAGACTCCGTCCAAGACGTCCAAGACTCCGTCCAAGACGTCCAAGACTCCGTCCAAGACGTCCAAGTCTTCGACCAAGATGTCCAAGTCTTCGACCAAGACGTCCAAGTCTTCGACCAAGATGTCCAAGTCTTCGACCAAGACGTCCAAGACTCCGTCCAAGACGACCAAGTCTTCGACCAAGACGACCAAGTCTTCGACCAAGACGTCCAAGTCTTCGACCAAGACTCCGTCCAAGACTCCGTCCAAGACTGTCCAAGACTCCGTCCAAGACTTCGTCTTCGTCAACGTCAACGTCTAAGAATACGACCAACAACAACTTCCCTGGTAAGCTCGTCCTTTCAGTTTTCCTGTTCCTTCTTCATCATTTTACTAACTTTCTCCTGTTTTTCCTTGCTTTGTGAAGTGGCAGGAGCGCGGAGGGAGCGGGAGCGGGAGGAAGAACAACACCCTTCCGAGGTAAGCTCGTCGTTTCAGTTGGATTCGTTTTCTCCTTCGCATTTACTAACTTTCTTTTGTTTTTTCCTTTGTTTGTGTAGTGGCAGGAGCGCGGAGGGAGCGGAAACGGGAGGAAGAACAACACTTATCGAGGTAAGCTCGTCGTTTCAGCTAGTCTCGTCGTATTTTCTTCACATTGTCTAACTTCCTCTTGTTTTTCCTTGGTTTGTGAAGCAGGAGCTCGTGGGAGCCAGAGCGGGATGCACGAGCATCGTCCATTCAGCATTTGTGTTTGGTTTGGAATCCACTGACGTCTCTTTTGGTGTCTTTGTTCAGGGCGAAAAGACGCGCATTGGCGGAAATCGCGTTTCTCTTAACTGCATTGACCTGAATCATCGAGATCACGCTACGTCGGCGTTACTTAAATTGGATGGAATGCTCTTGCGCGTGCCCTTTCGGCTGTATTTTCCCGCCCTTCCCCTCCGAATTTAGGGCATCTGTGTTGACTTTGCGTGGAATCACAAACAGAATCGCGACTGTTTGTGATTCCACGCAAAGCCATCAGAGTTGCCCTAATTCGGAGGGGAGGGGCGGAAAATACAACGGAAAGGGCACGCGCAAGCGTATTCCATCCAATTTAAGTAACGCCGACGTAGCGTGATCTCGATGATTTAGGTCAATGCAGTTAAGAATAACGCGAATTTTGCCGATGCGCGTCATTTCGTCCTGCTGCAGGAAATGAGTTGGGAGGAGGGAGACGCGGAGGCGCGACGAATCGAAGTGTGGCGGACCGATGGACGAGCGGGAAACCTCCTCTTCTTCGGACAACCTGGCGTCTTCGAATTCTGACAACCGAGGAGTGCCGTCCCGGGGTGTTTACATTTCCTGGATTTAACCCTGCCTGCGGGCAGTAAACTAACCTTCCCTCTCCTCTCTCCCAAGAAACCGCCCCTTCCCCCCCCCCCCCCCCCCCCCCCAGGGTCCCGCACGAATGACCTCCACCTCAACGCGGTGTGCGGGTGTAACGCTAGAGGCTTTTGCCTCTAGCGGCCAAGAGGGGTCAAATTCAAGACGGAGTTCGGGCAGCTCAACACTTGAAGCGGTTCAGCACTTGCAGTACACCTGATGCTCACCCCATGCACGCGAATTTGCCTTGCGCCGGATGGATACGCTGCACCCGAGGTTGTTTCCCCAGCTTCATGCACCTACATTACAAGCGCGTCGCGTGGTGTTCAACCAATAGTAACGAACAGACCGAAGTCAAGCAGAATAGACTGAAGTCAAATAAGGTAACATATATTGTATATAAGCACATGCGAATCCTTTTTAGCTAGCTGCGAATTGACGAAATTAACCGAAATGCCTCGTGACAGCTTATACGCCTCCTTCACAAGGCAACCGGGAGGGGCTCAAACAGGCATCATGTGTACACTTGAAGTGGCGCAAAGCTTGGAGTGGCGCAACACTTGGTGTGGCGCAACACTTGGAGTGGCGCAACACTTGAAGTGGCGCAACACTTGAAGTGGCGCAAAGCTTGGAGCGGTTCAGCGGTTGAACACTTCAACACTTAAAGAGGCTCTACAGTTGACTATATACTTGGAGTGGTCAACGCTCGGCCGTACAGGCAGAGCAGTTCAACACTTCGAACTAAGTCGAGCGGCTGGCGTTCTGCAGAAGTAGTAGTTGAAGAGTTAGGAACTTAGCTATGCTTAGTGACTTTTACGATATGTACAATTATATAGTTGTTACCACCCTGGAATAACGGATGCTTTGTTCTCCAATTAGTTCGAACGATTGATCGAGACGCTTGTTTGTCATAATCTTTTCTCAATTTCGTCTATTCAGTCACTGTTACGGTAGATCGAAGCGCTAAGCGCTTTACCGTCGCTTCCTGGTTTTCCTCCGTCGCGACTTCTCGTATCTGAGCGCAACTTAATGCTTAACACCGCAGATGACGTCAGTCGCAGTTATCATCCGTATATTAATCTTCGCCGCTTCAGGTAGTGAACCAAGTACCGCCAGTTGCGTGCTTCAGATGTTTGCACAGTCGCCTGTAGAACGCGTTTTATAAATCCGATGCATTGCGGAACGGCAATTCGCGGGCACAATAGTACCATATGCGGACACAATACTACCATCAATTTGCACCACATTAACTATAAAAAAACCGTGCGGACGCATGATTAGCCTCGGTTCGTAGGCCCGCGATTAACGTCGGCAGTGCGGCCGGTTCAATTTCCGTCAACAAGCGAAGGCTGTGATTAAGCGAATGCACATTATTTTTGGCCTTGAACAAGCAAGGCGGTGACTGAAGGGAAAGGTCGGGGGGGTAGAGGGGAGTGCGGGGAGAGGGACTGGGGGGGAGGAGAGGGGGGGAAGGGGAGGAGGGGTGGGTGGGGGCATGTTCAATCTCTCCCTGCTTTTCCCTCGTCCCCACCCGCTCTCCCCTCATCTCTTCCCGCTCCCCTCCATTTTCTCCCGATCTCCTCTCGCCCCACCCCCCCCCCCCCGCTCTCCACTTATCTCCCCTCCGCTCCCCTTTTTCCCTTCCCCGCCCACCCCTCATCCTCTTCCCCCACCCTCCTCCTCTCTACCCTCGTCTTTCCTGCGCTGTTTGGATCAAGGAGGGAAGTGTGTCTCGTGTGTCTCGCAGGTATTGGATAGCCCGACAGAGGCAAGCAAGCAGTGAACGAACAGCCTTCGTTAGACCAAGAAACAAGAGCATGAACAGCCCGCGACACTACCTTTTGAGCACCTTGGTTTGAGGAACACCATAGCTCCGAGATTGCAACAGGGGCATAGAAGAGACACAGGCATGGGAGGAAAAAATATGAGTCCGCAAGCACCAAACTGAATGGAATATATACCGGTATATATACACACACACACACACACACACACACACACACACACACACACACACACACACACACACACACACACACACACACACACACACACACACACACACACACATTCTCACTAAACCTTTATCCAGAGCCAACTCCATTAAGGGCTGTGATAAGATCTTCCTGCGGTAAACAGCGGTCTCATGCGAAGGCAGTTGCTACTGCAACACCCTTCCTCCACCCTTATGTTTGGCAAACCCATAGGGGGGCATGTGTTCCATAGCTCCAGACCAGGTACGCTATGGTGGCAGTACGGTATAAGCAGTTGTGGTGATGTGCGGCTACCAAGCCTTATACGACTACCGTATGCGGTTAAAATGCTATTCCAAATCCACATGCCATGCCACACAACCTGTGGCATGGCATGGAAACTACAAAGCTAGAGTCTGATGTTAGCAGAGGCGGTGTGGTGACAAGTGCACAGCCAGCCAACTTAGGAAGCACTACAGCATTCATTCGTATGAAACCACAGGTGTGGATCACAGAGACCTGGGGTATTCTAAGCAGCTACCAAATCGAATACCGTATTTCTTAAACAAACAGCCTAATGGGAAGGGACATGACATGAGGCAACTCAAAGAAAAGAATGCAAAGCATTAGTAACACAAACGCAGTGCAGTGCAGTGCAGGTGGAAGAGGGGGGGGGGGGGGAGGGGGGAAGAAGGCGAGTAGCGCAGGCTCATGGCAGGCTTGAATGTGATCGTCCACCGCTGCTGCACAAGGCCCATTCCCACGCCTGGAGGCATCAGACCAGACCCATTCCTGCATCTGAAAATGCACGCAGGTGCACCATCCGCACAGTTGCGCGTGCAAGGGTTGTCATCCCCAGAGGTGCGGGTCGGAAGTGTGCAGTTGTGAGAGGTCCACGCCCTTGCCCAGGAGATAGTTGCCCGTGCGCACATACACCTCCTGCACCTGCTCCAACTCCATTGACATCACCTGCATGGGCCAACACGGTGGGTGCAAGTGGGAGATGAGATGCAGGAATGAGGTGGGGGTCGTGCGCACATACACCTGCTGCGCCTGCTCCAGCTCCATTGACATCACCTGCAGGGGGTTCCAGGGAAAACAAGAATAAAAAGTGAGGGGGGGTTGCAAGTGGGGAAGGCAGGAGTGAGGCGGGGGTTGTGAGCACATGCACCTCCTTCACCTGCTCCAGCTCCATTGACATCACCTGCATGTGGAGCAACGTGGTGGGTACAGCAGGGAAGAGAAGCGGTGGTAGTGGGAGAGGCGGGGGTGAGGGGGGAAGTGTGCAGTTGTGAGAGGTCCACGCCCTTGCCAAGGAGGTAGTTGCCCGTGCGCACATACACCTCCTGCACCTGCTCCAACTCCATTGACATCACCTGCGGGGGTATGAGGGAAGGAAGAAAAAAAAGTGACGCAGGGGTGCAAGTGGGAGACGCGGGAGTAAGGCGAAGGGTGTGCACACGTACACATCCTGCACCTGCTCCAACTCCATTGACATCACCTGCGGGAAAAAAAACAGCTAAGTGCACAGGTTTAAGGGAAACCAGCGGTGGGTGCAGGTGGGAGGAGCAGGCAGAAGAGGAGCAGAGACAGGAAGCGGGGGTACGACCTAAAGGATGCGAGCAAGCAGGTTTGTTGAAGAAAGATTGACGGCAGAGGAGGGGGACTGGGAGAGCAGCACACCTGGGAGAGCAAGCTTTCGACAGTGACAGTGTGTGGCGAGATGAAGGACTGGTAGTAGATGAAAGAGAACACTGCCATCACCATCTGCGAGGAGGGGGTGGGAGGAGAGGACACGGTGGAGAGGGGAATGGGTTGGTGAATGGGGTCCGGCAGAGCAGTATGCATGGAAGGAATATCTGTACACATGCACATGAAGGACTGAGAGTAGATGAAAGAGAACACTGCCATCACCATCCGCGGGGGGAGGGGAGAGGAGAGGACATGCGGGAGAGGGGGATGGGTTGCATGGGTTGGTTGGTGAGTGAGTTATGGCAGAGCAGTATGCATGAAAGGAACATGCACGCACATGCACATGCAAACTACTCCATCGCACTACACCATACTCCATCCCACTACTCATTCCCTCATTCAGCACCAAGCATGGGCACCAAGTCCCAGGAGATAGGTACAAACAGACACCGTGCACACACGCATGCATGCATGCAGAGATACTCGATCTGCTATAGATTCTCGAGGCAGAGAAAGGCAACGCATGGCAACAGCAACCTCACGATTTGTACGCATCTCAGAAAACGGCAACAGTGATCTCACCTGGCAGTCCATGCGATCTGTGATGCCTCCATGCCCCGGTATCATCTCCCCAAAGTCCTGGTGGATTCACATGCATACACACACACATGCACACATGCCCACGTGCACACATGCACACATGCCCACGCGCACACATGCACACATACAGCAAAGGACACACGACCATTAGTGGGGCATACAGCAATTGTCATAAAGCCGTGGTTGGCAAGACAGGGGATGCATGTGAAAGGAGCAGGTATCTCAGGCACACTAGTGCACAGCTGCAACTAGCGTGGTCTGTTGACCACTGGATATACAGCAGAAATAGCAAACACACCAGGTGACTGAGTGAACGACCGTGTGTGAGAGAGAGAGGGAGAGGGAGGGGTAGAGGAGGGATGAGTAGCGGTTCCGTTGTGTGTTTGGTTGTTGGTTTGCTTGTTTACCATGTGATTGTTTAGACTAGCTTAGCACCCATGCCTGTTCCTTGACGATATTAATACGAAGGACCATTCGAGAGGGAGACGAGGAGTGCAGAGACTGACCTTGATCTTGAATGCGCGCTTGAAGCCCGAGGCAAAGAAACCCCCGAAGGGCGCGATGGAGGACGCAAAGATGGCAAATACCACCGCATGGCGCTGGAAAGGTGACATTAACATGTGGCCCTGGAGGAGGACGGGAAAGGGCAGGGAAGGGGAGCGGGGAGGGGAGAGGGGAGGCGGTAGGGTAGAGGGGATGGGGGAGAGGAGTGGGGAGGAGGGGGGGAGAGGGAGGAGGGGGGAGAGGGACAGGAAAAGGGAAGAGGGAAGGTAGGAGAGTGAGGGGAAGATGGAAGAGGCAAGAGAGAGGGGGAACGGAGTGGAGATGGGAGAAAAAAGCAGAGTCCCTTTTGGAAAACGTATTACAATTAAAATTCATGAGAAGACAAGAATCACGAGTGTGTCAGAGACGAGTCATGGCAGCAAGAATGGGCAAGTGGTGGTAGTACGGTGGAATGAGAGAGAAATGGACCGAGGGAGGAAGAAAGAGAGGAAGGGAGAAAGAGAGGAAGGGAAAAGGAAGAGCAGGCAAGCAAGGGCACAAGGAGGTATTGAGGGAGGAACAAGACTCAAAGACAGAGGAGGGAGCAAGGAAGGAGGTACCGAGGGGGCAATGACTCGCAGCCAGAGCGGCACTGTGCGCAGCTGCTGCTGAAACATGAAGTCCGGGCGGCAGTGCAAAGGCCCTGTGCTCAGATCCTGAATAAAAGGGGGGGGGGGGGGAAGTGGGGGAGTGTCAATAAGAAGTCTGGTCGCTCATGGCCGGTCGCTCATGGCCCCTAAAACAATTGGCTTCAAGTCTGCCCAACAATGCAGCACATTTGTCCACACATCGTGCAAGGGAGGGGGTGGGGAAGGGGAGGGGGAGAACGGGAAGGATGGGGAGCCGGAAAGGAGAGGTGGAGGGGAGGGGATGGGGCGAGTGGATGGGGATGGTGAGCGTGTGGAGAGGGAGCAAGGGACTGGTGGGACGGAAATGCGGTGAAGTGGGAGGTGGAGTGGAAGGGAGAGGTGCGGAGGAAGGAAAAGAAAACGAACGAGAGAGAACAGTTAGAGGCAACAGTTCTGCTAGTTGTCATGCCCTCCCCACACCCTCCATCCTCCCAGCCTCAGTCATTACAAGAGTCCTTCATACCCTGCAGTCCTCTTAACCACACAATCGAATCATTCCTTGCACTCTACCCCACAAGCAGCAAAAACCGCTCCCCACTCCCCGCTCCCCGCTTTCAACCCATCTTGCCCTCTTCGGCTTCGACACCCCACCTCCTGCCCAGTCCCCCACCCTCCCTTGAAACCCTCTCCGCCCTCCCAGCTCCCCCCTCCCCGTCCCTCCCCCTGCGCTTCCCCCCCCCCCCCCCCGGGCGCACCTTGCGAGGGCATGTGAGCCACTCGTATTGCCCGAGAAAGCCTGCTAGCTGATAGGGTACGGGGCGAGGGGAGGGTGCATGGGGGGCATGGGGCGCATGGGCGCATGGACATGCATGCACGTACAGGAATGGAAGAGTGAGTGTTGCTGAAGAGCAGGCGCATGAAGTACCAACCAAAGTGCAAGAAACGGCGGGACAGCACACACAGGGAACCATATAATGCGAATCTACACAGCAAGGAGTAATAAAGGCGTGAAAACCGAATCATTCGGGGTTATAAAACTGTGAATGAAAGGGCCGAGAATGGCGCGAAAGGGGTGAAACAAAGAGCGAGGAGCAAGGGGAAAGAAAGAAAGCGGTGGGTGGTAAAGGAAAAGGGTCTGACAAGGAAGGCGGAGACGACGGTGGTGATGGAGGCCCCCAGGAAGCCCTCCCAGGTCTTCTTGGGCGACAGCTGAATGAGCGGCGTGCGGCCGAAGAAGAAGCCAAACACGTACGCAGAGCAGTCGTTGATTATGATCAGCGAGCACGGTAGCAGGAACCTGGGGGGATGGGGAGGGCAGGGGATTGGTGGGGGACGGGGCTTTTGAGGCGCCTCAAAAGGCGTGCGGCCGAAGAAGAAGCCAAACACGTACGCGGAGCAGTCGTTGATTATGATCAGCGAGCACGGTAGCAGGAACCTGAGACAGGGTCGGGGAGGGGGGGAGGGGAACGAGGATGGGGAGGGGAGCGGGGGTTGATGACGTGGGGGAGGAGGGGAAGAGAGTGGGAGGGGGGGAAGAGAAGGGAAAGGGGGAAATAGGGCAGGTTGTGAATGGAAGGGGATGAGGATGTGGACTAGCAGGGAGGAGTAGAGAAAGGGATCCCCTTCTGCCCGCACTACGACAGCACAACAACTCTTCACACATGCTCGAACCACCCGCTCCCCCTATCCCTCCCATACATTCCCTTCTCCCTGGCACTTCCCTCCCCTCGCCTTCTCCTTGTGTGTGCCAAGGGGGGTGTTGCCTTGGAATATGTTGGCGACAAAGGAGGAGGACTGGAAGAAGACAACAAAAGGGAGACGTGCGACCACACGGGTTTTGAGGCGCCTCAGGAATCATCAGGGCAGGCACACACGCACCAGATGATGCCTTGGAAGATGTTGGCGACAAAGAAGGAGGACTGGAAGAAGACGACGAAGAGGATCATGTGCGTCCATGCGAACTGCCCGAACTGGTACTTGTACTGCCCGGGGCGTAGACTCAGAATGAACCACACGAACCCTGCCAGAGGGGAAGGGGGGAGAAAGGGGCAGGGGAGGTGATGGGGAGGAGGAGAAGGAAGGGTATGGGGGACGGGAAGGGAAGGGAATCAGGGAGATGGAAGAGAAGGTAGGGAAAAAAAAAGGGAGAGAGGATGAGGACGGATGCAAACGGAACGAGATGGAAACGAGGGAGGCAAGGGTGCAAAGTTGGAAATGAAAAAAGGAGAGCGAAGGTCAGGATGAGGGCCCGAGGGAATCAAGGGAGGAGGTGAGAGGAGGGGAAGGGCGTGTGTGGGGCTGGGTGGGCCGAGAAAGGGGGCGGATAGCCAGGAAAAAAAGGTGGGTTTTCTTTGTTTTTTCTTAGACTTAAGAAGACGAGGGAAAGGGGCAGAGAGGGGAGGCGGGGAAGAGAGGGAAAAGGGAGGGAGGGAGGGCGGGAAGAAGGGGAGCGGGGTGGAGAGGGGAGCAAGGGGAGAGAGGGGAAGGGAGTTTGGGCTCTTAATGGTTCTGGAAACTTGCCTACGATGTAGAGCGAGTAGGAGATGACGGCATGGCACTGCAGAAAGGAGGTGAGCACGTGGCTTCTGAAACGTCCCAAAAGGGTAGAGGCTCTTTTGAGACGTCTCAGAAAGGTTTTGAGAACTTGCCTATGATGTAGAGCGAGTGGGAGATGATGGCGTGGCTTCTGAGACGTCAAAAGAGGGTAGACTTTTTGAAACGTCCAAAAAAGGTTGTGGGAAGGGAGCTCACCTATGATGTAGAGCGAGTAGGAGATGATAGCGTGGTACTGCAGGAAGGATATGAGCACGTGGCGGTGCAGCGGGCGCGTGTCATCCGACGTGAACGACACCATTAGCTGCTTGCGCATGAAGCTGCCGTACACGTACACCATGGCCGTCACGAAGAAGTGCCTGGCGGATGGGAGAGGAGGGGGGGGGGGGGGAGAGAGAGTTGAAAAGGGGTTGTTTCAAGGTGGTGGATGGTGTGGGGGAAAGCTTGAGGTGTTTGCGCATGAAGCTGCCGTACACATGCACCATGGCCATCACGAAAAAGTGCCTGGGAGACAAGGGTGGTGGTTGGATTGAGGGAATTGTGGGATTGGAGGAGCGTGTGTGTGTGCGGTGTGGTGGGGGAGGAAAGGGGGTTATATAAAGGAGTGAAGACGGGGGAGGATTGATGAATACCGCGAGAGGAAGTGAGGAGGAAATGCGGTTGAACAATTGAACGAACAATTGAGCGAAGGGATGAGACGGGAGGCATAGAGCAGAAGTAATTGCATGGTGGGCCTGACAAAGGGGATTTGCCGGCACAAGGAACGAACTTCCTACCGGAGAAAACAAGGAGATGGAGTGGGCCGCGAAGGAATTGGACAAAAGCGCGAGGAATTACGGTCAAACAGAATAAGAATTTGGAGAGAAGTTACCCGTGTGCTTCACCCATGCCATAAGTGTTACTCTTGCGACAACCATGGTGGAACGGGAACGCATTGAAGGGACTGCTACGCAATTTCTCTTGCTGGCACAAGGAACGCAATTCCTACCGCATGTTTGCTCATTCATCTCCAAATTCCAACCCTACTCACCCATCCACACCTCGTTTCACCCCTCGCCCGCCTTCCATTCTCGTCCAGCTTCTTTCTCTTTTCCTTTCCCCATCTTTCCCACTGCCTCCCTAGACACAACCACAGCTACGTCTCACCAGTTCAGGAACCGAAACGCGGCGTGCTGCTGGTGCGACCGCGACCGGATCGCGCGCGTGGCGAGCCCGAAGAGCTCGTGTGTCATGAGGATCTGCAGCGCGATGATGAGCGCCCAGATGTACACGTGGCCCATGTACACGATCACCGCGAACCCGCCAATCATCCACACGCTCGATCGCACACGTGTCCACATCCCCACGTACTTCCGCTTATCGTTTATAAGCAGCGGCTGTCCCGCTTCCGCTGAACCCGCTCCCCCGCCAGCCCCGCCCCCGTCCTTCCCCGCCCCGCCCTCCCCGTCTCCGTGCCACTGCGTTTCCCCTTCCCCCGTTGTTCCCCCGCTTCCCCGCGAGCGACTCCTTGGGGAGAGCATTTCATGCCCCAAGCGCGATCCCACAACTCTCCGCCTAACCAGCCCCTCCCCTCCGCTCAATCTGTCACTGTCCCCCCCATCCCGGTCGCGCTCAAACTCCGATTCGCGGTCGGTATCGCGGTCCGTGTCCCTGTCCGTGTCGCGTTCCCTGTCGCTCTCATCCCCTGCACTCGGATCGAAGCGGCCGTCTTGGCGAAACTGCGGGGGAGAGGCCTGCTGCCACCGCGCCTGCTCCTCGCCCTGCATCCCGCCGTCCCTCCCGCTAGTTTCCGAAAATTCTCAAGATGCAACTGACGTAACCGCCGGTGCGTGTAACTTATTTCGTGCTACCTCGATCGTACAACTTTTAAGTCTCCTTGTTTGACCTAGGCCGCAGCCGTCACGTGCTACTCGAACGCGACGACGGACACCCGCACCCCTTATTCCAGTCAACGTTTACGTCGTGTTCCTCTAACGTCTCCGCTAATCAACGAAAAAACACCACCCTGGTCTCGCGCCCTGGATCAGCCTCAATATCGAGAGAAAAAAAAAATCCCGTTGTGACGAGACGATTTTATGTTGATGGTCCCGATCGCAGACTATCGCACCACAAAAATCCCTGTCCACCAACGCTACGCTGATCCCGCTCGCAAAAGGTTGTGATGACCCTCGTGGTCTACAACTCTAAGCAGCAGAAGCGTTCAGATCAACGAACGCCAAGCCTAGCCAACCCATCTCAGCCTAGCCTTGAGATTCACGTGCTCTGTCACGCACACCTTGGTGTTGCTGGGCTGTGGCGTGTGAAGATGGATTCGCTTGCTGTCTGTCCTCTTGAGATTTGTCTGGCGTTTCGTGGTGGGGTTCTGGTCTCTGGACTCAGGTGAGGGGGAAGGAGGAGTGAGCTACTGTAGGGGAAAAGTGCTGGCCTGCTTCCAAATCAGATTCCTGCCCAATCAGCAACGGCGTTTCACTTTTTCGTCCAATCATCGTCTCACCCCATTCCCTGGGGTTGCTGCAGAACGAAGAGACAGTGGGGAGAAATTGCGCACAACTGAGGGTCTGACAGAGAGGTCAGTGCCAGGAATTTCCCGCGTGTACAAGCTACCAGCTATCCTCGAAAAGAAGCAGCATCAATTACTGTCCATATGTAGGGAAAAATCCTTTTCCTTACTTCGCGTCCCCGCTCAGCGCGTACACCACTGTAGCACCACAGTCAGCACCGTTACCACTCGCAACTCTCGCATCGACAATCCTCCCGCCACCTTCGCACGTCGCACCCCGACCTCATGGCTCGGCGGGTAACCCGCGCTCCGGGCCTCCGTTTCGACACTTTTCCCAACCTCAGTCTCAGGCCCGTCACGCGACAACCACAGTCCATTACCGTTACCACTGTAGTTTCGATATATATTCTTCGCTCATGCCTTCGCTCATTGTACTCTTGCTTCGATAGTGCAATTCCCGCTCGCTCACTCAATTGCACTCGTAACACGTGATAATCAGAGCCTACGATCCCTTCTCGGACCGCACCCACACGTTCGCTTCCTCACTATCTCAATTTTTTTTTTTTTTGGGGGGGGGGGGGGGGGGGGGAGGGGGTAGAGGTCCCTCAGCGACACAGCACTGCCGCTCGTAGTGCTCTCTCGTAAGCACGCACGGCCACGACCGAGGCTCTCGCTGAGCTCGCCCGACACCCTCGCCATGGCCGAATTCACGCTCGCCACATTGACGCTGGAGCAGCTCGACGGTCTGGTGCGCCAACTTGAAGATTCGGTGCTCGAAATTGCGACGCTCACGGACCGTGACTCCGCGCGCCAGCAATCAACGGTGAACACTCCAGCGCCACCACACGCACCGACAAATGCATCTGCACAATCGGACGAGCCGATCGTCATCTCGTCCGGCACACCAACACAAAATAGCAGTGTGGGACAGCGCTCAGGTGCAGCCAGTGATGGCGCCGCCCAGCCGATGCCTGGCATGGGAGGAAACAGGGTCGCACCAAGCCCGCGGGAGCCTCGCAAAGCCCGTCGGCACGTGGAGTTCGCGGCGACAAGTGGCGAACAGGCCATTATGGCACCAACGCCACTCAAGCCGCAACGCCCGCCCTGCTTCGACCCGAGCCAGCGTGGAGGTCAGACGGTTCAATCGTGGGTCTTCACGATGAATGTCTTCTTCGACGCGAATTACGTCGAGTCAGACGCAGCGAAGATTCGATATGCCGTTTCGCTGCTAAGGGGCCCCGCCATGGACTGGTGGCGAGTCATCGTGACGTCGCCACGCGCCTACGAGCCACCGTCGCAAGAGGAAGGGCCCACGGGTCCAGCTGTCACCTGGAGTTCATTCTGCGAAACCGCCCAATACAGCGCGTGGGATGCGTGGTGCGCATGGCTTCGGGCGCGCTTCGAGCCGATCGCGGCTTCTATTTCGGCACGTCAGAGATTGCGCACTTGGCGGCAGCTCGGGTCGGTTCAAGACTATACGAGTGGTTTTCTCGCATTATGCGAGCAAGTCGGCAAGATGCACGAAGCGGAGCGAGTGGACCGTTACGTCGGAGGGCTGAAGCCGGACATCTCGCACGAAATCATGCTACGCGGGCTCTCGAACTTCAACGAGATTCCCGCGCTCGCCGATAAGATCGACATTTTACGCCGTCCGAGACCGGGGTCCTACTACAGACATCGTCCTCGGGGGCCGATCGAGCACGCCAATGTACACGCCGTTGCGACGAATGCAGCTTCCGCGCCGTTTAAGGGGCGCTGCTTTGCTTGCAATAGGCCGGGCCATCGCAAGAGCGAATGCCCAGAGGAGCTAAGGCGCCACGGAGCAGAGCAGGGGAGGGAGTCTCCAAGGCAGGGAAACGCCAGCAGTTAGTAGGAATCGGGCCAACTACTAACGAGTCTGCCTGCTCGCCCAACCCCACCGACCCTCACCGAGTCACAGTACCGATTCATGCTATCGATCGGACTCGGACGAATAAGGAGGGTACAGTGACGGATTGCCCAATACTGATCCAAGGGAAAATACAGGGAGCAGCAGTGAAGATTTTTATCGACGGAGGAGCAAGCCACAGTTTAGTTAATACCGCAACCGCACGAAAAATGCAACTGACACTTAGCCGTTGTTTACCTGAGATAGACGCACACTTAGTTGACGGCACGCCACTAGCCATACGGGAAAAGGTGGAAAGAGTCAAAGTTCGCTGCGGGGGGATTTCGGGTTTACACAGGAAATGCTCGCAACGACACCAGATGGGCACGACATTTTACTGGGACGTGATTGGCTGCGACGGTATAACCCGCGAATTGACTGGATGACGGGTAGCTGCACGGTGCGAAGTAGCGGTAACTGGGTCGAGGTACCTCGCTGGCAATCGCCCGAGTCTTCAACGGTGCACGTCAATGCCATCACCATGAAACGGGCTGTCGCTGCTGGAGCTGACGTGTACGCAGTAGACATTGCTGTAGTAGAAGGAGCAGAGCAGCCGAGTGATTTCAAGAAGCTGCTGGCAGCAGTACCGCCCAAACTACAGGAACTGTTGAAACGATACCCAAGGATTTTTCCCGACGATTTACAGGAAGGACTGCCAACTCATCTAGCACATGACCACCGAATAGAATTAGAACCGCGGGCACAGCCAACTGTACAGCGCCAGTTCAGACTGACACAGCCCGAGCTCGACGAACTAAGGAAGCAGTTAGATTACCTATTAGAGAAGAAATTCATCCGACCGAGCTCGTCACCGTTTGCCACATCGATACTGTTCACGCCCAAGAAAGACGGAGGGTTTCGCACGTGCATCGATTATCGAGCGCTCAACCGGGTAACAGTCAAGTCGCGGTACCCCATTCCCCGTGCTGGCGAACTGATCGACCAACTGCGAACAGCACGGAATTTTTCGAAAATCGATTTACGGGGAGACTACCATCAGATTAGGGTCGAACCATCGGATTGCGCCAAAACAACTTTCCGGACTAGGTACGGGTCATCCGAGTACACCGTGATGCCTTTCGGGCTGACCAACGCACCTGCGACATTTCAGGAGACCATGAACGAGGCGTTTAGGCCGCTTTTAGATAAATGCGTGATAGTTTACCTCGATGACATCCTCGTCTACAGTCGCGAAAAGCACCAGCACTTAGCAGATCTGGAAGCAGTATTTAAGATTTTAGACGAGCACCGGCTATTGACAAAGGGTTCCAAGTGCGAGTTTTTTGAGGAGAGGTTAGAGTTTTTGGGGCACGTTATTTTGGAGGCTGGGGTCGAAATTGACCCTAAGAAGTTAGACACGGTGAAAGCCTGGCACCCCCCGACGAATATTACAGAACTGCAGAAGTTTTTGGGGTTCGTAAACTACGTGCGTCGGTTCGTCCCCGACATGGCACGGTTGACGGCTCCATTGACAGACTTATTACGGAAGGGGGTCGCTTTTACGTGGGGGGAGAAAGAGCATGCTGCCTTCTCTGCCCTGAAAACTGCTCTCTGTTCACCGCCCGTCCTGCGCATTGCTGACCCACACCGCCCATTCGAAGTAGTTACTGACGCCAGCGACATCGCCATCGGAGCCGTACTGCTACAAGACTTTGGCAACGGCCTACAGCCCATTGCATACGAGTCACGAAAACCGCATCCGCCCGAGAAAAATAACCCGATACACGACCGCGAAATGCTTGCGATCGTGCACTCGTTCAAAGTGTGGCGCTGTTAAAAGACAGGCGCAGGCGTGACATTACGGACAGACCATAAATCACTACAATACCTCCGCGCACAGCCACACCTCAACCCACAACAGATTCGTTGGATCGACTTCCTCGAGTCAAATTTTCACTACCCGGCCACCTACAAAAAGGGAGCCTCGAACATCGCCGACGCACTGACCCGCCCCACTGCCCAGATCCACGCAATACTACTCGCCCAGACAAGCCCCCTACTAACAGGCCTATTTACCCACGGGCACCAAACAGATCCATTCTTCACAGGAGGAAATTCGCAGCAGTTCGCAGCAGCCGGGACCGACCGCATTT